AGGGTCGGTCTCCTCACTGCCTGCGTGAGCAGAACACTGTTCGGAGCTCGTGGCACTCACAACAGGCGGCATCAACGGTAAAATCTGGGCACTACTAGTTCTAGAAAATCTACAGCAAAGCATGAAATAAAAGCAAGTGATATTCTTAACAGTCTCTGATGGTGATGTGAACCTTAACTTTCCGCACCGCAAAGCCTGGACACTTGAGTAGCTATTTAGCTCACACAAAAGTGCACAAACAAAAACCACCTAAGCTGTATAAACCAGCTCTCACAGTCACTGGGGGGTGAACACCCAATCCCCCACATCTCCTCCCTAGTTACCTGACGCAGGTGCTCTGTCTTCCCCCCACCCCTGCACCCCAAAACCGCTGGGTTTCTCTGATGCAGCTGCCAGATTTTGGCAAGACACAAAACCTCACAAAGACACAACCAAGCAGAGGTGAGCGTTTGAGAACGTGTGTGTAAGACACAGCTGTCTCGGAGCAGGCCTCCCTCAGGATGCGCCAGCTTTCCGCCGTGCGTGTCCGAGCTGGGACCCAGGCCTGGTGGTCGCTGCTCCCACAGAGAGCGCCTGCACGCACCACACGGGGACACTCCAGGGCAAAGGGCTGGCTCACAGGGCTGTGCACGGCTCTTCCGGAGGGGCGTGCGGCACTCCTGGGGCCGCAGCTCACGGGGCCGCCGCCCGGGGCCTGCAGCGCATCACCTCATGCACGCTCCCCTGGGCACCTGCCACTGCACGAGGGGCCTGAATTCGGGCTCTGAGGACAGAGAGGGAACGACAGAAACCTACGAATGATGCTTTCTGAGAGGCTCACGATGCCGAGGAGGCAGATGAACAAACATGTTAATGAATCACACTCAAGTGCTATATGAGCAAAGTGCTTCTAGGGCAAAGAGGGGAGCATGGAAAAGTCTGTGGAGGGGACACAGACCTGACCTCCAAGGGTGTCGGGGCACAGGGGAGACGGGGATGCCACACCAGGGACAAGAGTCAGCTTGGGGGCAAGACAGGGTCACATGTGTTTAGAGCCTAAGGGATACGTTTGAATTGAATACTGGACAACAGGGAAGCCGTCAAGTTGCTGGAAGAGAAACGCTACAGTGAGACATGTTTTAGAAGCTGGGGTACTTCACTGAGTGGAGAAAGGACTCTCCCCCACACCAGCGACAGGGACGATCGCACACCCTGTGACCTTCACCAGAAAAGTCTCAAACTACAGCCCTGCCGTCAGCAGAAGTTCTAAGAGAATCTTCACAAACAGCCGCCAGAAGGACATGCCGTCTGCCCGCGCCCCCTACAGTCAGTCCACTTCTACCCCTTGGCCAACACAGGCCTCCGAGTGGGCCCCAGGTTCTACTGATCTGAAGTCCTCCTTGTGGGGAAAACACAAAGTTCTGTGTTTTCCAGATTAACCTCGTTTAAGGTCACAACTGCAATCCTGTGTAAATACACTCAAGTTCCGGCCCAATTTTAAACTGGATGTGTCAAGAGAGCAAATACAAACTTGAAATACATTCCAGTTGGCCTTTGAAATCACGCCTGGGAAGCAAGGCACCAGCACCCGTCTTAGGACCGAGCAAATGGTGGCATTTCTATGGTACTAAGTATTCTGGTCAAATGAGAGAAATTTCGTTTTATTAAGATCATGGTTTTCAGTTCAGCTGGTGTTAACTGAAAGCACAGTAGAACAGCTCTCCTAAACCAAAGCACCTTTAAAAGGTTTAAAAAGTTCAATGCTTAAAACTGGCTTAAAAAAACAAACCAAAACCAAAGTACAAACACAAGACAGTATTTGTCCCATATTTTAAAAAATTGAAATTCCATAGATATCTTGCCACCAGGATAATGACCCTTAGTTGTAAATGGTTTTCCCAGCAGAACATAACCCGCTTTCAAACACGGCACCAGCATTTCTGCCGAAAACCCAACATCTGGGTAAACTCACTGAAAAGTACCTGTGGACTATGTGATTTTGAAACAGTATCTTTGACGATTGTGTGTTTTTACAAAGAGGCACAACCTTACGTTTCATGTCCTTGAACTTCCTGTAACGAAAGCGCAGGGTCCACACTCACGTGGGAAACTCCTGCCAGGGATCCTTCAAGCGCAGGCCCGAGTACGTTTAGGACGACATTCATCTGCTTTCGCAGAAGGACACGCACGTGCCTGCACGAGTCTGTCGTGTTAAGTCACCATCAGTCAACAGACAGAAGCCAAAATGTGAATGGGGATGTGTCCTTGGGTCCCAACAGCCGGCCCTCATCCTTCCACGGGAGCCCGCTCTTACTGGAGGGCCACGGTCCTCACCATTTACAGCTACACCGGCCCCAGGGCTGCCCCTGAAGCCACGCCCCTTCTCGGTGGCTGGGAGCAGCCCTCACCCACCTGTTAAGAAAGGGATCGGAGCTCGTGGTCGTCATCGTCCTCAGCTCCTGAGGCATCCCAGGCGAAGGCACTGGGTTCTGAGTCCCACCTTCCTGGTCCAGTGTTGGTAACTGGCTGCGAAGGGCTAGTTCCTAGAGAAAACAAACAGAAACAGAATCAGCCTACTGACAACAAATGTACTGTCGGACTGAAAGAAGTAAAATGCACACTAGGGGCCACGGATGCACAAAGTTCAAGTGTTAAACGTCTACTTCAAAGCTAACAGTTTTCCTTATCAGAAAGACCGTTTCATATGACTGAAGTTAAGTTGCATAAATTCAAAGTTTACCTAGTCTTATTAACGCCCAAATGTATACACCTCTCTACCTAACTTCACTGTGTTACGTTTGCTTACTCGGGCAGACACTCCTGAGCCTGCACTACTGGTCAGGATGGCGAATCTGGTTTCCCAAAAAAGAATCGTTCAAGTTCACGTCTGCTCGCCAAATGTCATCTGGCTGCACCAGGAATAAAGTCAGAAACACAGCGTCGGAGGGCTTGTGAGCAGCCGCCCGCGCCTCCCTTGCACTTGGGGCTCCACCGCACGCACCAGCGCTCCCAGACGACCTGCGCTGCTCTGTCCTTCCTCCCCCAACTCCTCCCTGGGGGCCCTGCCCTGCCTCTCAAGCTCAGGTCTGCACTCACGTCAGCTTCCTCTCCCTTGGCTTTCTGGCTGGACTTGAAACGTGGCTTTTTATTGCAAAGGACACTGCCCCAGTGCTCACAGAGCACACCCCCACCGCCTGAGCTCTGCAGCCCCTGCAACGGACCAGACTTACGCCTACTGAATGCACCAGCCTAGAAACTGGGGTTTCCTAACCAGAAGATCATGATAGAATGCAGAGGGTCTATGAACTTGAGTGAGGAAAAGAAAATGACACCTTTATTTTTCCACAAACTTCCAGCTGAAATTTAGCACTTTCTTCAATTACAAATAAAGGCAACTAACAGCAGTATTTGTTACGCCCTCTGGCTTTCCATCAATGGACATGTCGATGCCATATTATAATCGCAAATATCTTAAGTGACCATTCATGCTCATCACTACTTCAGTACTACAGTAGTGCGAAGACATGTTGTTACATCTGGTTACTTACACACTAACGACCAAGTGAATGATTCGCTCCACAGGACCGCTCCTCGACCTTCTGGATTCAAATGACCCACATCCACCTCAATCACCCACTTATACAGCTGAGACCGTGTGGTTTAAAACCAAACCTACCTCTAAAACCTGGAGTCATATTTGGGACAGTGATCAGTGTGTCCCTTCAGTGCAGTGGGATCCACTGCTCACCCTGGAAGATCACATCTGTGCACAATGTCTACCTAACGATCTATCACCAAACTCCTGGATCTCCGAATTGCAGCAAAACTGACCATCACTGTGTTTGAACCCCCTACCCTCTCTGCAGCACCCCGGAGCGGGTGTGGACAAGTCTTCCCCCAGAAACCTCACACACACTCCTCTCGCCTTCTGGGACCATTAAGTGCTCTTCCCGCCAGCTTCCTGTGTCACCTTCTCCCCTCTCCTCCCGTTCCAGTTGAGTGGCTCGCCCTTTTTTTTTCCATTAACCTCCCCCCTCCCCCGAGGTGTAAGTAACACACAGCATGACAGTCTCCCATGTGTAACACAAGGACTCAATGTTGACGCACACTGTGAAGTAACTCCCATAATCACCTGTCTACAGACCATCCCTACATAGCTATGGTTTTTTTCCTTGCGAAGAGGACATTTAAGATTTACTCTTTTAGCAACTTTTAAATGTGCAATTATTATGCAGTATTATAACAAAGCTAATAACTAATTATTAACTGTCGTAGTAACTTATTTTATAACTGGAAGTCTGCATATTTTGGTCTCCTTCCCCCAACCCCAGTGTATTCTCTTTATTTATAAACTTGGCTTGTTTTGCTTTTTAGATTCGACTAATAAGGGACCATGTGGTATCTGTGTCCTGACTGACTTCTGCACTTAGTTAACACTCTCTACATCCACCCACGTTGTCACAAATGGCAAGATTTACACACACACACCCCTTCATCCATTCAACTCTCAATGGACACTCAGGTGGGTTAGTGGTTGACAGATGAATGGACACTTCAGGTGATCCCAGGTAGTGGCCACCATAAGCAGTGACGCAGGGATACAAGCCTGAGCATGAGCTGATCTGGAACACACATGAGGCCGTATCACACTCCTGAAACATACACGGTTTTATCTCAACACAGCAAATGGCCACCGGAGTCTGTACTAGAAACGTGCTTGCTTCATGTCCACACCGGGACCGCTACGAAATGCCAGAGAAACACACAACTGTCCAGACTGGTCTAAATCGATGGTCTCCAGTCTTGAACGGATGCAGTCCCACGCTGTGATGTTCTCTCTTCGCACGTCCCCACCACCGCTGCCCCACGTCAGGCATACGCCTTCAAGCCCGATGCAGTCAAGGCTGTCCACACGTCAGTCCCATCTCAGAGGGGACGCGGAGGCTGTCCAGGCATCTGGCTTTCTGCCTCCTGCCGCCCGCCTCCTCCTGCAGAGCTCTCTCCAGCCGCACTGCTCTCCCTAACTTGCCCTTGGGTCTCCCCAGCCCCTGCTAAAGGCCAAGTCGCCCTCCCAGCGGCTTCTGGGGACCTGTAGCATCCTGCCCTGCACGCACTCTCCACCCTCGCCGACCCCTCCCGCCAAGTGACTAGAACGTCAGAACGATGCGCTCTGCAGCACCACCCCCCTGCCCTTCCATACCCGCTCTGCTTCCTCCCTGTTACTGAAGACTCAGGTCCCGTCCCCGAGGGAACCCTCCGTGATGATCCTGTCTCCATCTTCAGACGCGACCAGATAGAGAGAGGTTTTGTTTTCAACAGTCTGAACGCAGGTACAACATGATCTTAACACTTATCATACAATATTGTAACTACTTCTCTATTTCTCCTCTGTTCCTTAAGGGCACGCTGAACGAATGAATGAATGAGTGAATGGACTGTTCTGGAGCATAATACTGTAACTTCTGAGGCTTTGAAGAATTTATGTTACTATTAAAACATGAGGATGTAAATGAGAATGAATTTGAAAATGAGTAAAATTTGAATGAAATTTAAGCTCTGGATGAAGCTGATGCTTAGAGTTCTGTGAGGAAAGTGTAGATCCTTTAGAACATGGGAGCACCTTGCAACTATCTTAAAAAGGGCCTCATTTGCTTTCTCGTTCATATAAAAGAAGGCAGGCACCAGTTTCTTCGTAGCAAGCACACGACAGGGCACTACCGACTCATTACTAAACTAACCGATAAATCGGTTATAACTTTTCTGTTAAAAAATTTTTATTTTACTTTTTTTTTTTTAAATAAAGTTTCCACTTTTTCGAGATTGTTTTATGAGGTTAAAGCGGTCATGTTCAGATCCTCCATGTTTTTGCTACTGGACTTTACCACTTTGCTTGTTCAGAGCTGCCGGGTTCTCACTCGTGCCGTCTGTGACAATGCAGCCTCTCCCACCAGCGGTCACTGCAGAACCGCCGTCTACACTCACAAAGAAGTTAATCTGGAGACGTGCCCCAAGCCGCCAAGAGCTACAAAGGACCACGAGGCACGCTGCTCATGCAGTCTGCATCTGAGCCGTGACCAGAAGCCCCGTCGGGGATCAGGTGAAGTGAGGCTGCGAGGCTCAAGGAGAAAACGCCATCTCACTGCCCTGGTGCTAGTGGGGTGGGGGCGTCAGCATTACCAGCTGGCATGAAAACAAACATCACGTGACAAGGCCAATGACACACACACACACAGATCACAGAAGCCAATCAAGGTGGGGAATATTCAGCTCAGGTTTGAAACTTCTAGTTAGAGCAAAAAAAAAAAAAAAAACCAAACCAGGGTCGATTAGATGCCCTAAGTAATTCCTGAACAGTTTTACGTAGGAATAACTGAGGTATGAGAACGTATATACATATTACCCAAAAATGGATGTTCTTAACATAGCTCAGTATTTGCCGAAGACAAAATTGCTTTAAGTAATTCAAGTCAACTTGGTAGCCCCCTCCCCAAGTCATTAGTTCTCAATGTTTGTATTTCCATCTGCTATTAATATAATTTATTACACTGGGTTCAATAAGGAAGATGGAAAAAGTCTGTTGATATTTGAAACAAATTGTCAAAAACAAGGGGAGGAAACTGAATGCATTTACGCAGGCCAACAGACCAACTTCAATCTCCCCTTAACTTATGACTAGACCTCAACTGAACACAGAAAGAGCCACATGTATGCTTTCCATGTGCACACACCACGCGCCCACACAGACAGCCCTGGGAAGGCAGAGCTCAGAGACGACACGCAAGTTAGAGGAAGTGCTTTGCTCCACTCTCTGCCTTGTCAGACCTGGAGGAGAGGGCCCGTGGAGTCCGCAGGGCCTGATAAATCCTGGCTTCTCACTCAAAGCAAGCGTACTACTCCTTGAACCCTTGGCCAAGAATCGGAAATGTGAAAGTGAACAAACTTACCTAAAATTAAGAGTTTTAGCAGGAGAATACGGAAAATGTTTTTCTGAGTTATATAGACCTTTTGTGAGTGACTTGAGAGAAAAATAATTATAATATGGATAGGTATGAAATAAAGTTACATAATCTGAATGTTTTAGTCACAAAATGTATTCCACAGAAACTTTTTCTCCATTATACTGCATTTAAAAGTATGCCTGGATACATCTATACAAACCTGGATAGAAGAAGCCTACTCTGGTGCGATAAAGTAGTTTTAGCAAAACTCAGTCCGGAAGAACATGGACAGTATTTTGTAACTGGGTGAATCTGGCACAGCTTTTTCAAAATAAGCTTTGGGACACAACTGGATCATCTGTAAAAACCGATTTCAATAGAAACACTTCATATTGAAAGTTATGTCTATCTCTAAGGGACTTTTTATCGTGAACGAATGCCTAAAATTAGAATACTAAGCTACAAATACAAGTTTGTTAAAAGCGTCTCTTTTTCCCAAAGGTGGTTAGAACATATACTCTGACAGACTTTCAAAATCGGAGAAGTTATAGTCAGTTTGGCCAAAACTTAATCATGCTTCTGTATGTCAAAGGTCAGAAAGTTCTTTTAGAGTATCTGACTTTTCCTAAACAAAGCAAGTATTTTTAGCTCCTTTTCTTCCGTAATAATACAAGAATGTGGCAGCTTTTCCCAGTGAGCTTGTAAATCTTAGCTAATGCAGGACACACTGGGAGTCAAAGCAACCTACACTGTGAGTAACCTGGATGGTCCCAGCTTGGTCCAAAGGGGACTTTTCAGGGTGGCTCATGAGGGGAAACGCAGCTGGCTTGCTTTACGTCGTGGACTTTTATGGACTCAGGGCCTCACCAGAAGCCACTGGCCCTTTTTACGTTTCCTTCTGGTCACTTAAATGGCAGTACCCTTCCCCACAGGGTGAAAAAGACATTTTAAGATCAGATATATCAGGAAGTTACAATATTTTGTTCCCACATAAAGTGAGTACTTTGGTTCACATCATTTAGGAAACTGAGGAGAAAGGCAGTGGAAACAGCCATCAGTCTGGAAACATTTAGAACATTTCTGGGTTACGGAATTCTTAGGGTATCCAAGAAAAGTGAAAGCACATGTCTACATGAAGACAAAATTTGGAACGACCCAAATGCCTGTCAGTAAGTGAAAAGAGAAACAATCACAGGATAGCCCTACCATGGAATACTAGTTAGCAATAAAAAGAAAGATGACGGGGGCGCCTGGGTGGCTCAGTCAGCTAAGCCTCCAACTCTTGGTTTCAGCTCAGGTCATGATCTCATCGCTCATGAATCTGAGCCCCATGTCGGGCTCTGCACGGACAGCACAGAACCTGCTTGGGATTCTCTCTCCCTCCTCTCTGCCCCTCTCCCACTCATCCTCTGTCAAAATAAATAAGTAAACATTAAAAAAAAAGAAAAAAGTAATATACAACATGAATCTCAAAATAATCACAGGTGAAGTTATGATTCCACTTATAGAAAATTCTAAAAAATACAATGTCAACTTCAATTATTCTTATAAAGCAATTTTGTCTTTAGCAAGCAAGCACTGAGCTATGTTAACGGTGCAGTCATCTTAGGGTAACATATGGTGCACAAGTGAAGGCTTGTTTTTTTCTGGGTTATCAATTCATTTAAGGAAGGTTAGTTTAGTGAACCAGAAATCCAAACTTAGAGAGTAACTCTAAAAATACACATCTTATAATAGTTTGTCTTAGTGAAAGCAGTTTATGTCACAATTTTAAAAACAGAGGGAGAAAAGGCCATTTCTTTCACAGTTGCAGAGACCTTGGCAGACCCTGCTTCCCAAGCCAGCTGTAAACACAGGATATTTCCTTACATCTCAAGCGATGAAAATGCTCACTCGATGAGAATGCTTTTGTGTTTTAGTATGTGTGCCATTCACCAAATTATCTTCAAGTGCAGAACATTTTTTACTAAAAAACTGTACAAATGGACCTCGGGGCAGTTCTGAGAACTACGGGATGACCTCGAACTCTGAAAGGGGGTGTCCGGGAGAGGTTTACAGTCTAGTGTTCCCAGCATTCTCCTGAGACTCAGCACTTTTTCTGACAGATCTCTAGAATTAGGTCTTCGGTAATTTGTGTTACTTAATTATGGTGTCAATCAAAGCAATACGCGGTATTTTAATGTTCTTCAAATTAGAGAGACTTCAGTGAGTAACACAAATGAGAGAACATCAGAGTATGCGGGTGTGAAGTGTATCAGTTTTCAACCTGCTTATTAGAAATAAAATCTAAAAATTCATTTCAACCTAAATGAATTTATGGTTTATTCAGTACTAAGACTTTAAGAAGAGGAGAGATGTTCTTGGGAAAAGACAACTGGAACAGTTCTAACAAGAAAAAACAATCTGGAGGAACAAAAAGCCAGATTTTTTACTATTCTTAAATTCAGGGACAAAAAGATTGATGGCCACTGTTTTCACGTGGCCCTGGGCAGTGGTGGTGTTTTGCTCCATGTGGCTAACACTAGGGACATCCAACCGTCTTCGCCACGTCAGGCGACCGCTGTGGTACCGTGTCCTGGCTCAGTGAGGCGGAGCCTGGCCCTCAGGCGGACTGAGCACCACCGGTGCACCACTTCATCAGCCGCAGACTATTTATGGCTGTGACTTCTGTGAAGCTTGAAGCAACTATCTGCTCAGAAATGAAGTTAAGATACCTACGTACAGCTGTCTTGTTTCTGTTTCCAGAGTAGTTTCAAGAACTCGGAGGCGGCCAGGGAGAGCGGGTTCTGACGCCGGGCCTGGGAGGGACTGGACAGGCTCACTGGGCAAGAGGGAAGGGGACCGCGGTGAGCGGGAGCAGGGCCACCAGACGCAAGAGTGTGTGCAGCCGCGGGGCGGGAGCGATGGGAGAAGGCAACGGCAGCCACGCTCAGGGGCACGATCTTTCTCAAGGTGTTTGCTCCAACGGACCCTGAAAACAAACTGCAGCCGAAACCCGCAGACAGTGCCACCTGCACCAACCCTCTCGGAAGGTCTCCAACTGACAGAGGAGCAAGACGCAGCCAGAAAAGTGAGCGTTATGGGCTCAGCCTCAGGAGCAGACATGACGTTTATAGTTGCAAAAAGTTTTTTCTCAGAATAGAAATAGCTCTTGCAACATAAAAACAGCGAACAATCCAAGTGAAACTAAAAATTTTAAGTGCTCTGAAGCACTTAAATTCCAAAATTCCAAAATTCTGCAATCAAACCCTAATTAATGAAGGTGGTATTTTCCATCTTTAACGAAGATCCACAATACCTTTAAAGCTGTCTTAATGTTTCAGAATTCTGCAGTAAGCTCAGTCCCACTGACCTCAGTTTACACGAGCAGGGAACCCTGCTGCACAGACCTGTTTAGTTCATTCTCTTTGGAAAAAATGAAAAGACAGCTTCTGAAATGAGTACTTTTGTAAACACTGTAGAGTTTGGTGCCTTCCCATCTTCACAGCCTTTGAATACAATATTTAATTATATATATAATTATAAAATGATGACACTGACCTCGTGTTGCTTGTGAACTCATCTGCACTTTACTTCTATCAGAAAAGTAAAAAAGAATTTTGAACAGTGCCTGGCACTCAACTATTGAACAACCCGTCCCCTCTTTTCCATTCTTCCTTTAAATGTTCTGTTCCTCGAGCCTGAAAAGGTCTTCCTGGCTTTCTTGATCATCCTGGTAACCCTGCAGGAAGCCATCCTCACTTAAGAGAAGGCTCCTGCTTATGAGCTCATTCCTGGGACCTATCAGGTCATCTAGAAAGCACCCAAGCACACGAACACTACCATATTCGGTGTTTTGCGCTATTCCAAATTTAACCCCACCCCAAATTTCCTAACGCTTAATGACATTTCCACAACTTCCAGGTAAACACAGTGACAAAAACTCCTGTAACAAATCCCGTTTAACCTCCAGCATATTTGAGGTTATTTTAAAAAACCTCTCCCGGGTTCTGGCTTAAATAATCTCAGGAACCAACTGGCCTTTCAGAAACACTTCAGAGAGAGAGCAAGGGCACGAGTCTCCCCTCTGCACCGGCCCCACGGTGGCCCCGAGGCGCACACGTGGCCATGGATCTCAAGGCAGGACGGCGCTCTGCTGTCAAAGACAAATGTCCTGACTTATCCTCGCACCCGATCTCATGGTTCAAGAAGCCACTGTGAGATAAGGAGCCGCTTTTCCTCTCACACAGCTGTCTGGTCTCTGGGAGGGCTGGATCCCACAGGCAAGGCAACAAGGTCCAAACCGAGAGGGACTCAGCCAAGGCCAGCGTCCACCGCTAATTCTGACGCACCGACCGAGCCCCGCACAGGGCGGCCACACGGCACCTCCTGGTTGGCTCTGCCCACCTGAGACACGTGCCAGTCCCCTAGGCTACAGTCCTTCTAACTCGTGGGCCCTGAGCAGAGAGAAGGTCTGTCTTCCCGTGAACCAAACAAGTACTTGTGGTCAAGGGGACAAAGGGCCACCGTCCCTCACCTCCATAACATGCTTTCTCAACCAGGGCTCTCCAGGGTTCATCAGGGAGAGATGTTGATAACGTCCACAAAGAAACCCCAACACTCCCCCAGCAGGCTCTCCTCTCTTCTGAGAATCGTAATCTTCTTCCTGTGAAGTGCCCTGCAGAGACCTGTTCCTCTAAAAGCACCATGATGGCCCTGGAGACTTCTGGGGGCCTACCCAGGGAAATGCTCTGTGCTCTTCTGTGACTGTTCAAACGACTAATTCCTGTAAGTCATAAATCTCCATAAATCACTATTTTAAGCCACACACATGAAAATCAGGCACATCTCAAGGCTGACGGGATGTGCAGATGAGACATAATACACTTCAAATGTGGAGTAAAACAAGATTTCCATGGAATCAATATGAGAACTAGAAGCTTCCGGGGAGCAGTGAGCAGGAAGCAGGCAGCACAGACCTTCCGGGAACGGCAACACGAACTTACGTTATTTGGGGGAGAAAGACGGCTCAAAGGTTACACCTGAGCTAACGTTCAGTGTGGACAGGCCCCTGGAGCACAAGTGTCTCGCTTACCTAATTTCGTATCTTTTGTTTTCAAGGCTAAAACATCAGTTAAGAGCCTACCTGACATTTTGGAGAATTTGCTGAGCTGGGATTGATATTCCGCATTGCCTAAGAGTAAAAAATAAGATGGATAAAAATTACTTTAAGCCGCATGGTTTGGCTGTGTAGGCTGACTTACAAATTTCATCCAGACACATGACCACAGCACAGGGTTCCCAAGCCAGCCCAGGAAGCAGCAGACCGAGGAAGACAGGAGCCGACGGAGGAGTCACCACACGAGAAACTGAAACCTCCCAAGGACTCAACAGCGAGGACAGGACAGCAAGGCTTGAGGTGTCAGGACCCAAATAAAATCTGAGTTGGTCACATAGATTGTTTGCTTCTGAGAATCAGAAGCAGGAAAAAATAGAATTTAATGTTTCAGTGAAAAGATAAGCTAACAAGAAATTCAAAGGAAGCCAAAAGACTTAAGACGTACTGGATTTATACTTATCGCCAAAAAACAAAACCAAAATGTTCTAATAAACAGACTATTAGTATAAGAATAGAGCAGGTCTGTCACTTCCACATTAAGAAAAGACAACACAGTCAGCAGTAAAGAAGAAAAAAGGACATTACCCACACAGGAAGTTAAGCTATTCTGTCCAGGACCCATCACCCACAGGAAGAGAGAGAGGGAGACTTGGAAAAACTCTTTGGGAGGAAGAGTTTTATAAACAGCAGCATCGCCCCTCACAACAAAACAATACAAGACAATACAACAGACAAAACCCCAGGCTGATCTACGGAATGCAACAAAATGATGGACGGCCCATTTCTAGACTTTAAAAAACTACCTTAAAATACTAAGACTTTGACATTAGCAATTAATTTTTCTTAGTGTGATTTCTCCATTTTGATGGTCTTCAACCACTGTGTGAAACGGAGATTTGTATTTCCTTAGACCACCTAGTACCCAATCAGTGACGGAGTAAAAACGCCTTCTTTCTTCTAACAGCTACATAATTACATTCTGTCGCATTGTTCTGAGGATAAAGTTTAATTTAAAGGAAAACCATCCTTCCTTTCCAGTTCTGTGTTAGAAAGAGACACAGTGAACTGTGTCAGCTTCCTTGCTCTGCCCTCTCGAGGGCAGGTAAGCATCCCGTCCGTCACGATGGCTCCCTGACCAGGCCTGGCACAGCCCTCGCTATCAGGACCCGCTGTGGGCGCCAGGCATGCTCGAGTTACACGGACAGATCGCGGGCAGCGAGGCTTAGAGCGGAGTCTGTCTGGGACTCACGGCTTAGGTTCCTTCCCCAGGGCTCCAGTTTCTCAAATCAGTGTTTCCAGGAACACCGTTGAGTGCAGGGCCCTCGGAGATGCCTGTACCCCACTCGATGCGCACTTCCACATGTGGCGCACTGCGATGGGGGCGGGGGGGGGGGAGCGGATGCATGTGTTCCATGTTCGTGAACACAGAGAACTCTCTGGAAACAGAAAATGAGAAACTGGCAGTGACTAACGCCCGAGGAGAGAACTCAGGGCACGAAGGAGGAAGAGGCTTTGTCTTCGCAGATCCTGGCTACCTGCAGGCTTTCAAAATCGCACTATGTTTATTATCACAACAATTTACAAAAAACCTCAACAGTATGCTGCACTGAGACCACATCCCTGGGGTCTGAACCCTGCGGCCCGAGGGGACCCACTGCCTGCCCTCGGACACGAGGACCAGCACACCTTCTGAAGGGCAGTCACGGGACAGGTCCCAGTGGGTTCCGAGCCGTCCCAGGGCAACCTCACCCGGGCCACCCTGAAGAAACCCTCAGAGCCGGGAGCTTCGGAACTGGGGATAGCCTGCGTTAGGTTTTAAGGGAAGCACCCAGATTCAGCAACACCGAACCCTCGGTGTCGTCTGAGAAACATCTCAGTGACCTATCTCCCCTGAATGATTTCCAGCTCTAAGAAAAGGTGTCTTCCGAGCGATGCGCCAGGGTCCTGGCGCCGTCTACACCCCCATAGCCTGGCAGGGATAGGCGCCCATCCGCAGTGGGGGCCCGAGTCACCAGGGCCCGCGCGACCAGGGCCGGGTGGCAGGCAGGACAAGAACAGAGCCGGCATGACGTCTGTGTCACCCCAGCCGTGACAATGGAGCGCTGAGCTCAGGACCCCCCCCTCCCCCCCAGCCTGCGCGGCAAACAAACCCCGAGAAGCGAAGGCTGGCCTCTAACCTGGGGCCTCACCTGCCGGAGCAGCTCCTGCTGCTTCAGACGCAGCCTCTCCTTCTCCATCTGCAGCTGCTGCAGCCGCATCTGCTGGTTGGAGCCGCCGCTGCCCAGGACGCCCCCCGGCGGGCTCTGCGGGGCCAGGGGCGGGGGCTGTTTCGCCGGGGCGCTCTGCCCGACCCTCTGGTTCACGGCTGAAATGAAACAAAACAGCAGTCCTAAAAATCTAGTCACAAAGGGAAAGGACAGGTTTTCAGAAGCAGCTGGGAGCAGTCAACACAGCCTTTGCGGCAGGAAGACCAGAGACAACCTGGAAACCCACCAAGGGGACGGCCGTTTCGTTAATCTACTGCTCTCGCTGTCGCCCCTGCAGCTGTTAGGAGAGGCCACGCAAGAGCCCGAAACAAGAGGAAGCTCTCACCTGCGGCGACAGGGACAGAAGGCATGCCACATGAAAGCAAAGCGTGTCGCGGGAAGCACGGGACGCGTCACACACACGTCCGGAGAGGACCGAGCGCAGGCCGGGGAGAACCCGTCTGTCGGCTGCCCTGGAGCTGGGAGGCTGACAGATGACTGAGCAGCAGGGACGTCTGTGGTGACTTGTGGAGTGTGGATGATGTGAACACACAGTTTATTATAAAACGTAAGAGGTAATTAAAGATACAGGTCCCGAGCCAAATGACACTGTGCGTTCTGAGCAGTAAAGCCCAGTAAAATGATCCACCCTTAACAACACAAGCCGACTTCAACGACGGGAGGCTTGTGGGGGAACAAGCCTACAAGCTCTGGAGGCAGAGGCTCATCTCCGGCGACAGCGCTGCCCCTCACACAGCCCAGGAGTAGGGCGCAGCTTCCTGGTCGAACCTGTAACACACCACTGGACCGTCGGAAAGGGATGGATTCCTGTTCCACTGGATTTCCCGCGGAGGGAAGATGCGAAGGGCACGTCACCTTTTCAGATGCGTGTTCAACTGTTTAAGGTGAGGTTTGGGGTCCCTGCTTGTACTCAATGTTTAATACACCCTGACCAGGAAAACCCCAGGCCCACACAACCTCACAAATGTTGAAGGACGAATACCCATCTCATAAGGCCTTTACCAGACAACAGCAAACAAGAAACACCCCACACGGCGTGCACGACGGCAACACAATCCTGAAGCAAACAAAGACATTCCAAGAAAGGAAAGTTCCGGACCAAGCTCCCGTGACGCTCACCGCCACCATCCGACCTGACGTGCGCCGGCGGCTCCTGTGACCTACTGGTGCCCCAGGCACGCGCCCGACTCCTCAGATGGTCTCCCGCATCCGCGGCTGCACCACAAAGGCCGCGTGGTGAACACCAACTCTGGGAGGCGTGAGCAACCTGCCCACCCTTTCCCTGCATCCGACTGCTCATCCCTCTGGCACCAGCACGGGCGTAGCCCGCGTGTCCTCAGGGCCCTGCAGCGTCCGGAGCAAAGTCGGTGCTAAAAAAACTCGAGTGAATGAATAATCACTGAGGCAGAAACTTCACTAGTTAAGATAGACTGTGTATAACTCCCACTAGCAAATTCCACCCAAGACTGGCTGCCTCTGCTATGGCACCGCACACGCTGCTACGTCGTGCGGAAAAACGTGAGGACGTCGAAGGAAAAACCGTTCAAGGCCAAGCCCACACACGGTGGCTTCATCCAGTCCGACCTAATGGGCAGCACGTGTGCAGTACGTGTGAGGGTGTAGCCATGTCGTTCTATTTTCTGTTTCCGCCTTTTCCCTCCAGGTTTTCTCTAGTTCTTTTTCTAACTTGACTTAAAGTCATTTAGTTTAAATCGTTCCTTGGAGCATGTAAGTCAATACATTTACCCTTAAGTGGTGCTTTTCCCAAGCGGCCTACATCCTGGAATAGTGTAATTCTCGACCGTCCCATTCAAAATGCTTACAGTTTCTAGTGAAATTTCCATCTAACCCTGAGATCTTCAGCATACGGTTATGCTTCCAAACATTTCTCAAACTATTTCCGCAGAGAGAGCAGAGAAGCCTCACCGACGACAAATCTTCACGTGCTTCGTCACGCAGCTTTCGAACCAACAGAGGCCCTTCTGTGCCCGCGTCTTCCCCGTTACTCTCAAATGTCAGAGCCTTTCATCCATAAATAATCTCAGTACCTATCACTCAGTAACTCAGATTCTTTGATCTTACAAGCATTTTCTCTCTTATGCTGAAAAACCTGGTTCTAATTAATAATTAGACATTAATAGGTGCTGCCCTCCCACATATACACAATTATTTCAAAATTATAGGTTTGTTAAACTTATGCCCAACAGAATGATTGTTACAAGTTTCTAATTTGTCACTGTTGACTCTCAGAACAGTCCATGAGGTGTATACAGGCAAATCACTGTGGGTTGGTTAGTCACCTGAAAGAATTATTCTCCATGTCACTCAGCCACCAACTCAAAGTACAGGTTCACCGGTGACACTGTGCTTTTGAATTTTAGAAACCTGCTTTCCTTCCCCCCGTCATGAGCAGGTCACAGCCAATGGCCACCAGTGTTCTGTTTGCTTTTTAAAAACCTAAGCAGGGGCGCCTGGGTGGCTTAGTCGGTTAAGCGTCCGACTTTCGCTTAGGTCATGATCTCGCGGTTCGTGGGTTCGGGCCCCGCGTCGGGCTCTGTGCTGACTGCCAGCTCAGAGCCTGGAGCCTGTTTCAGTCTGTGACTCCCTCTCTCTCTGACCCTCCCCTGCTCATGCTGTCTCTCTCTCTCCTAGAAATAAATAAAAACATTAAAAAAAAAAAAAAAAAAAAAAAAAAAACCTAAGCAAACACACGCACACTTCGTAAGAGACAGGGCAGCATACACACTGAGACTACTTTACTCCACTTGGCCTTTTTTCTTACTTGCTCACTAATACGCCCGTGGGACCACTCCAAAGCAGGATATAGGGGTTTTATCCGGTTTTGTTCTTAAAATAGCAAATTAGTATTTCATTCAACCAATTTCCTGTTAAGTTTTCACTTTTCTACAATAAGCTCGTGCACACATTGTCTTTTTGCTACTGTACCTTGGGGCAGAGTCCTAGCTGGGAGAGGCGGCTGGCTTCATGGGCAAAAACGAGTACCACTGCGGAACCTCCCGGCTCTTCCCTCCCACACCAGGGCTGTACCTCTGTGTATCCCTACCAGTGAGGTAGGACAGCCCTGTTTTCCTCTCAAATCCTTCCCAAACTTTTGGATTTTTGCCAATCTGAAAAGTGAGAAATGGTCTGTCAGTGTGATTTTACTTTGCTGTGTTTTATTAAAAAGTTTGATCAATTTCCCTATTTTAAAGGGCCATTTGCATTTTTCATGCCAATTGTGTTCATATCTTCTCCAAAAGGGTTGCTGGTCTTTACATTCTCCATTTTAGACCAATCTTTATATATGAGGGGTTCACAACTGTGGTCATATATAACCTACAAATAATCTCCCTCAGTTTACCATCTGTCTTTTTAGTTTGCTCGTTTTCCATGTGATTTTATTTTTTAAGCAGTCAAATCATTTTGAAATTTGGGCTATGTTTTTCCCCACTCCCTGATGACTAAGCAATTCATCAACTTTTTAATTCAAAAGCTATTCACTTCCTTTTTATGTATTTATTTGGCAATCCAAACCATTTGGAAGTTAGCCTGGAATATGGAGTGAATAAATCTGATTTTATATTTTCATGCCCATCTATTAGCCCCACCACCATCCACATAAAGTATATCCTTCTCCCAAAGACAACTTCATCAGACTAAATTGCCATATTATATTGTTTTTGGACTTTCTATTCATTAATCTTATACCACTTGCCACGATTTTAATCACAGCATTAATGATCTAACAGCGGGAAGGACAAACCATGTGCGTTTTGTGACACTAACTTTTACTGGGGACCTGATTTACCTGCACCGTGTTTCAAAGAACAAGGAGTGTAAATCTGAACTTGACGCGTGGTCAGGCCTCGCCCACGGGCTGTCCAGAGCAGGACACTCCCACCTCCCTCGCCCGGAACACTCTGAGCTCCTGACACCCTCCGGACCCGAGGCCCCCGACCCTGGCAGGCTCCTCACCCTGCCTGCCCTTGCTCACTGTATTATTCGGGTTTGATCTTCTGACCCACAGAGATTATTTTCCTCGATTTACGACCCTAGTTATGTCTTTCTGGTGATCTCTTTTTAATATTTTGTCTGGCAGAGCAGAGAAGGGACGTCAAAACAGGCCGTGCTGCTTCAAGTTGTTCAAAGCCCGATTCGTTCTCTTATATGCCCAACAGAAATCATATTTATGCATGCTCTGTCTTTAGAAAGAGTAAATGGCTTAAAGTTTCATAATCATGGTTGTAGGTTAGCATTTTGTAGGGGAATGGATTAAAAAAACCCAAAATTTTAACCACTAAGATGTGCTGCAATCTGTATTGTGATTTCCTTTTAACTCATGAGCTATTCAGGACATTGTTATGCTTCTAAACATGTTTTGTTTTTTTTTAATATTTTTATTTATTTCTAGGAGAGAGAGAGAGAGACAGCGTGAGCACGGGAGGGTCAGAGAGAGGGAGTCACAGACTGAAACAGGCTCCAGGCTCCGAGCTGGCAGTCAGCACAGAGCCCGATGCGGGGCTCGAGCCCACGAACCGCGAGATCATGACCTGAGCGAAAGTCGGACGCTTAACCGACTAAGCCACCCAGGCGCCCCTCAAACATGTTTCAAAGTGTGAAAACCAACAACCTCATTTAATACAAGTGCTTACGTCTACCTGTCACCAACAGGTACCATCACGATAACCAAACACACAGCCTTTGTAGTCAAACCAACCCCACAATTCCGTCATTCCTCTAATCCTCAGCTATTTCAACTGTATCTGGGGATGCTCTATGTCCCTTTCAGAGACACTGTGGAGATTAATCTATGCACTCTAGCCCTGGGGACAAGAGGTGCTCCATAAAGGCCACCGTGTTCCTTCCCTGGGGCACTCTTTTCTAAACTTAAGATTCCCAGTCCTACAGTCAACCATGCTGCCCTCTACCATCTCCCACCTGACCAGCCACTCCCGGTTTCCCAGGACACTACAATTCACAGAGATGAATATTTATCTTTCCAGTAAGATCTAAAAGGAAAAAATGAGTAGCGGAGACTGAGTCTTAACTCCGCCCTGAAACATCCTTCTTTAGTGAAACGCACTCCTGGCATTCCAAT